TGCCTACTTTCTTAATTAAGAGGTATATTTGAAGGTTTGGCCATCGGGGTTATAAATGGAATTATCGACAAGTGAGAGCGCGTTTGGTATAGGAATAATATTTTAAAGATAGATATTAAGCAAAACGCCTCCGCCGGGAAAAGTATCTTAACCACGTGATCTGCGTTCATACTTGCTCGACATCCAGGAATATCGGGAGTTGAAGAATTCTAGGTAGATAGACCAAAGTACCCCTGAGCGGTTGACTAAATGACAAGTCTCGGAAAATGTCTGAGACGCGGGTCCAAAGAGATGTATACGGTAACAACGAATTAATTATTTTTTATTTTTTTATTCTCTTTATATTTAATAATCATATCAAATTTTAATTAATTTAAATTAAATTAAATTAAATTTTATAAAAAAAAATTTCTGAATATATATTTTTTCATTTATAAAATTTAAATTCAAAATTTTATTTATAAAAAATTAAATTCGAACGGTCCATTTCAATCAAATAACATTAAATTTTGGATTAAAAATGTTCACCTCCAATGGATTTCATGTTCGAACTCTACACAGAATTATTTTCCTTTCTTTTTCAATTAACCTTGTAAATAATTACAATTTGTTAAAAAAAATTAAACTCTTTCTATTTAAAATAATAAATTAATTATTCAAATGAAAAAATTTTGATTTTTTTAAAATAAAATTTTAAATTTAAGTTTTATAAATAAAAAAATAATTATTAAAAAAGTTTTTTTATTAAAATTTAATATGAGTTAATTTTGAATTAATTAAAATTTAATATTTTTTTTAAATACTGATATATTATTATTATTTTTTTTTTAAAAGGAGATGTATACGATTTTTGGAATTTTGGAGCATGGCACCAACACCAGGCCTCATTATTGTAGCTGGGCCCCGGAAATATTAACGGTCCAGATAAGTCTGGGACTCGTTCAAGCTGTCGCACTGCAGTGCACGAAATGTTGAAGAACTTTCCCATCCGAAATCCGATCATGAAATCTAAGGAAGAGATTCCTTTGAAATTTTATCCATTTTATTTTTAAATCAGTCAAGGTCAATATATTAATTTATCTTATTTGAAGTTTGCGGCTTTGCAGTGTCACAGTGTTTAATGGAGAAGACTTTTTTTGTTTTTTTTGGGAAAATAGGCAATGGATTAATGGAGAAGACTCGTTCGTAATAGGCGTGGTTATTATTATTTAAAAAAAAAAAAAAGAAAAAAAATTAAACCATTAATTTTTTTTAATTTTTTTCTTTAAGTAGTGTAAAAATATTAATTTATTAATTAATTTTAATTTTTTTAAAAATAAATTATCATGTTATTAAAAATATTAAATATTTAATATAATCACATAATAAATTTAATAAAATAAAAATTCATATTATATTTCATATATTTAATTATTATAATTAAATATTTTAACATCCTTAATACTAAAACGTTTTGATTTTTTCTTTTCTCTTTTAATTTTTAATTAACAAATATTAATTATTTTACTAATTATTAATTATTTTTATCAATTAAATTAGATATAATTAATATTTTTAAAGACAATGTTTATTATTTTTGGTGATTTTAACATTCCAAATGATGGTTATAACCCTAATCTTACATTAGGGATCTGTTTTCATTATATGATTAGTTTTGTGTAATTTAGTGTAGTTGAGAGATTTTTGTGGTGCATAAAATATTTTTGATCTTTTCAATTATAGAAAAAACATATAGATAAAGATATGGTCATTTTTCATATTTAAAAATTTTCAAAACTTTGGC